CAGCTTCTTGATACTGGTGGCTTCCAGACAGTGGCTGTGGTGATGTAGTTAAAAAAAATTTTTTTTTAAATTGATTTTAGAGAGAGGAAGTCGGGGGGCGGGGAGAGGAGAGAGGAAGAGAGAGACAGAGAAAAACATTGCTTTGTTGTTCCACTTATCCATCTATTTGGTTGATTCTTGCATGTGCCCTGACTGGGGATTGAACCTGCAACCCTGGTGTATTGGGACGACACTCTAATCAACTGACCAACCCAGTCAGGGCACTGTAGTTCTGAACTACAGCTTACTTCTTGGGGTGAGGTGGGCCATTTCCAAGATATTTTTATTTTGCTCACATTTAAAAAAGAAAGAATTGGGAGCTCATACTTAAAAAAAAGTTAAGAGATGCAGATTGCTCCCAATTATTTCACATTCTATCTTCATAACTAAGTGTGAGCAACTATTTGTTAATTTCATCTATATTGTCACATGCAAGATGAATTTACTTTGATAAATTCTATTTATTCTCAACTGGTGACAGAATGCTGTGATATTACTTTTTTAATTAAAATTAATTTTGAAGACCTCTAAAGCACTCTCAATTCACATGAGTCAGAGAGAAAAGAAAATTAATTTAAATATTATTTCTAAGACTAAGTGGCTATTACTGATAACAGGCATCTGAATTTTACCTGTCATTATCTAATATATGAGATAGTCCTTATAAGTTAATCATGTTTTATTTTTGCAGATTTATTACAAATTATTATTTTTCTAAAGAGGCTAAACACAGTGGCAACTCTAGCCCCAAAGCAGATGTGCTTGAGAATAGCATCTGAGAATACTTCTGTGGTTACACTTGACTACACAGTGAGCTAATAGTGCTTGAGGCACTTCCTGTAGGGTGCAGCCTTTTGGAATGGTGGCACCCACCTTAACTAACCAAATGTGGATGGAATGAAAGGGGCTACTTTGCATACCAGTACCACAGTGCCACTTTCTTGGTAATCTCTGTCAAACAAGGAAAATGATATCATCACATATAAGGTACTATGATTTGGCATAGAGTCGTAGGAACTAATTGATTTGTCTCTGATTGGACTTTGTTCTATACTGAATTCATGTTAAACTTGTCTCAATTAAAATACACCTCTATGGTTCCAACCCTTTGGAAATGTCACTCACAGGTAAGGTGTGCAAGGTTTTGATGTTTTTAGGAGCTGAAACAGAAAACAAAAGTTTTCTATTATCAATGAAATAGCAGCAATATTGGAAATTGAGTTTTGGGATGAAAAGCTCATAGTTTTCATCTCTAGTTGTTCAAATGATATATCTATCAAAAAATGGTAACACTTTCCTCATAATTTGAGGTTTTTCTATAGGAATTACATTTTAAAATGAACACTTAAAAAGTGCCTTATATTTGTAATTTCCTATGGAAGCTAATTGAATTTCCTTATACCAATAAAAATGATAAAAACTATAATTGATTCACCCCTTCCCATAATTACAGTTGTATATGCCCTGGTAGAAATTAGTAAATGAATTAGTATCAGGATAAGTGACTATAAATTAGATCTGTATGTTCATGGCAGTAAATAAAATTGTCATCCTTCTTCTCGATGAAGAGTATTGGCTCTGAAATTAGTTTGCTTGGGTTCCAATCCTGGCTCCCTAGTTTACTGTGTTCTGGGGCAGGTCTCTTAAGATCTCCTACATTGTTTCTTTACTTGTACAATGGGCATAGTAATAATGCCTCTGTTAGGGGGCTTCTGACAGAATTTATTGCCATGACTCTTGTAGCATTTGGCACAGTGCTTGGCACAAGGTAAATGGCTATTATTATTATTACATGTATATAATACATGTGCCTTGCAGCCTACCTCTGGGTATATACCTTGTTTCCTCAACTTGATTGTTTCCTCAACTAGCTTATATAGCTTTCTACCCCTTTGTCACTTAGTACAATATCTTATAAATTTCATAGTCAGCAGTTTGGGGCTAGATTATAAAAGACCGTGACTCTCAGTTTCCCCAGGCTTGCTCTGAATCTGTTCCCCACTCTAGTGTAAACCCCCAAATCCTCTTTGAATTGTGGTATAGAGAGTTCATGACTGCTTCCCTCCCCAGTCAACAGCAGCTAATCCAACTAAGCATTCAGACCATCTGCCCTTTGGCCTGAAGCCGTGTATAATAGTGCAAAAAATTCCAGATGGTCATGTCGTGTCCTTTAGGAGTTTTTTTCTGAGTTTGTTAGGCATTTCGGGCTGCTGGGCAGTGTATAATTTCTTTAACTCATCTAAATTAAATTATGCAGAATATAATTTATAACCTCCTTTTCTTCTTCTCATGGTAAGGTGATGAGCTAGAGAGCATTTTCCTTACCGAAGAACCTACTGTCACGGTGTGAACAATTCATCTGCAAAAGGCTCAGAGGTCACCCAAGGTCAATGTACTGACTTATGTCCTTTAAACATGTTAATTTTTACTTCTTCAGTTTTTTTGTTTTTGTTTTTTTTACCTAATTTAATTTGAGCTAGTCCAAAAAAAGAATTAAGTTCAATACAGGTACATATTGATTTCTACCTACAATTCCTGAAGTAAAACACTGAGTAGAGTGCAAGGTTCAGAAAGCCTGGGTTTCTTTATGGATTGCTGTGAAAGTTGCATTTTAACCTAGTAGAGCCCATAGGCTGGATGAAAGCTTATGAGAATTTAAAATATTTTTATCATCAACATGAAATTTTGGAAAGTTTATATAAGGACTTTCAGTTCCTCTCATTCTTCCCAGTGCTCTTCCAATGGCATTCGCTTGTCTGCAACCAGCTCTATAGCTCCCTGTTCTATATTTCTTCTAGCCAATTCCAGTCTATCTTAATTTACAAAATAAATTTCTGATTTTTTTTTGGTTCTATTTTGTTAGTGATTACTTGCAGCCATACACAAATCTGATTATAGCTCTATGGTATTGTGAAAAAGTTTGCAACTGAATTCCAAAATGACAGTGTAAATTACAAAGTACAAAATACCATGTTAAAGCACTGTCAGCAAAAAATAAAGATGTTTAAAAAATGTTTTGGGAAGGAGAGAGAACTAGGCTGGGAAAGGAAACAATCCACACCTAGGAAAGGAAGAGCCACCTTTAGGAAAGCATTTGAAGGACCAGGACAATGGAAACGCTTGTTATTTTATTTCTAATAAAATATAGTTAATTCACAATATATTAGTTTCAGATATGCAACATAGTTATTCAACATTTATATCCCTGATGAAGTGATCACCATGATAAGCCTAGTAACCATATGACATCATGCAAAGTTATCACATTAACTATATTTCCTAGGCTGTACATCACTCCATGACTTTATAACTGGAAATTTGTACTTCTTATTCCCGTCCACATTTCTTGCCTTTCCCCACCTCCTTCTCCTCTGGTAACCTTCAGTTTGTTTTGTATATCTATGAATCTGTTTCTCTTTCTTTCTTTAAGATTCCACACGCAAGTAAAATCATATGGTATTTGTTCTGTCAGACTTATTTCACCTAGCATAAAACTCTCTACATCCATCCACGTTGTTACAAACGGCAAGACTTTATTTTTTCATGGTTCAGTAATATTCCATCACCCCCCCCACGCACCCCCACACCCCCCCACTCCCAAAACGTCTTTATCCATTCATCTATCAATAGATACTTAGGTTGCTTTCATAACTTGGCTATTGTAAGTAATGCTGCAATGAAAAGAGTGGTGTACATATTTTTCAAAACTGTTTTTATTTTCTTTGGATAGATACCCACAAGTGAAATTGCTGGGTATGGATTATCTGCAGTCCTCTAAGGATTAAGTCATAGTTGCATTAGACTTGCCATTGACTCTCCTGGAAGATACACAGAATCTTTATTTCTCCAGGCTACTCATTGGGGATGGTGGAGCACTAACTTGTGTGGGGACTGTACAGGAACTAGGTTTGCAAAGATCAAAAGGGCACAGTTCTTATCTTCGAGCACCTTTAAGTGTTTGAAACAGAACATTTTAAGAGGTAGGTATAAAGTTCCCGGTTGCAAAAAGAGAAAGCAGCAACTAGAAGCTTGGAAGTAAGAGACCTCAAAGCTCCCCAAAGGAGGAGAGTTATGGTCCATATGACAAAGACAATTGTGATAGGCTTTCGTATTTTTGAAAAAGAAATAATAATGTGAAATAGATCACCCATAAAGAGTTGGGATGGTGGGATTTTACATGGAAGGTTTAACAGACATTTAATTGAAGCAGGGGCTGACACAGACAAGTCTCTCATAACTGTCAGGAGAAAAGAAAGGTCCAGACGACAATGAGTGCTAGCCGATCCAACTGACATTTGCCTGCGTGGAGCATCTTCTGCAGACTTGAACTTGCTGCATTTTGTCAATGTTGAGTGCTGTTCTCCAATGTGTTGCTAGGGGCCGGGAGCCCACCACTTCTACCAGATACTGCACACAGTATAGGGAGAAGGCTACTTTAGTGGTCCCAAACCCTTCTCTCCCTCTCTCCCTGTGGTTTTAGGCTGTGTGAGGCTTATCTGCTGGTAGTTCCGAGATTTTTCCCTTCTTTTTCATCACAAGAAGGAGCATTTAAATTAAGGCGGTTAACAGCCGCAGTTCTAACACCTCCGGTCGCCTCATGGCCTGCCCTCCCGGGCTCACTCCGCGCAGGGCCTCAGGTTAGCCTAACAGCGTTAACTGCCACGGGGATGCAACCGCTGCCAGGTGGCGCGCGGCGAGCGTTGCGCGATCTGGAGTCTTAGGCCAGCGTGGAGTTCAAAAGGTGGAGGGAGAAAGGCCATGCAAGCCGTGGGGGTTTTTGACCAACGGCCCTTCGAGCCAATTGGAAGCCTGGTCGACTTTTTCCCCTGCCAATAGGGAGCGAGACCCAGGTTGGGGTGGGCGGGGAAGCGCTTCCCGAGGGCTGCGGCTGGATTTGATCCTAAGCGGTCACAGCAAAGGCGGGGGCGGAGGCTCGGCCTGGGCGGCGGGCAGCGGATCCGGGGAGGAGGGAAGACCGGAAGCCACGGTCTCGTCCCATCCTTAAGATTCACTCCCCGGGGCTGGGAGCGGAGACGGAGGAGCGAGGACAGGCTGAATGTTGGCTCCTTAGTACCAGGGAGCGGCCGCTCGGGAGCCTCCTCCCCGGGCGCTCTCCGTACGCACTCGGCTCCTGCGCGCGCCGCCCCGGAGGACGACCCGGCCGCGCAGACCTCGTTGAGGACGCACTGCCCGCGGCGGGGACTGACCGGCGGTCCGAGGCCCGCACCACGCAGCCACCCCCACCCGCCTGCCCGCCTGTCCCTCCGGCCGCCGCCATGTCCTCCTCCTCATCCTCCCCCAGGGAGACGTACGAGGAGGATCGGGAGTATGAGAGCCAGGCCAAGCGCCTCAAGACCGAGGAGGGGGAGATCGACTACTCGGCCGAGGAAGGCGAAAACCGCCGGGAAGCGACGCCCCGGGGCGGGGGCGATGGCGGCGGCGGCGGCGGCCGGAGCTTCTCACAGCCGGTAACAAAGCGCGGCGCCCTGTCCACTGTGCCTGGGGGCTCCCCGGGAAGCAGGGCCCGGTGGCGGGGACTCGGCTCCGGGCCTCCCTCCCGCCTCATTTCCCTTTACTGCTGCGCCGACTGGGTCGGGAAGCTCCGGCTCTTCTCTTTGGGTTCTTGTTACTTGCCCTACCTGTTTTCCGCATCCCGATCGCGAATCAGGCCCTGGCCTGGCCGCAGGCCCTGGCGCGAGTCGGCTGCCGTCCCTGAACTTGGAGAGGGTCGCGGGAGGGGGCGGTGGGGAGGCGTTACTTGGGATCCGGGGGCGGAGTGGGGGGCCTTTGGTGCGCGATGAGCTCTTTGTTAGTTTAACTCTTCGGACTGCTGGCCGGCGTCTGGACGACCCGTTCGCTCCTTTCAGCCCCTCTTCCCCCAGCATCCGCCTGCTGGTCGCGGCCACAGGATGGTTACCTCTGTTGAGCCGAGGACGCTTCGCCTAGGTCGGGTGGAGAGTCTCAACCAAACGATTGATTACGTTTTGGCGCTCACACCCTAGTTCCCCTGAAGGTTTAACTTAAAAATGTTTACTCTTGGCCGGTAGGGCGTGCATGCTTTACCTACCCAGTTATAAGATTATTACTTAATACAGTTTTTAGCTCTTCGGTTTAAAAAATTGTATTGGTAAGTGTTAGACATTCCTACTTTCAAATAAAACAAATCTTAAAATCACTTCAGGTTTTCATTGACAGTTCTTTTCCAGATTGGCCCCACTACAGGAGGAACTGAACCCAGGACAGCATTAAACACACGTTCCTAGATTCTTGTTTCTCTCATCAAAAATGTTAGGTGGAGGTAAAAGGAATATGAAAATCGTTTTATCCACAGCAAACAGTAACTTAGCTTCAGTTGGATGGAGACTTTAAGGAAACAAGCAAAGAAGAAGTTTTTGCCCTATTTTGGTGCATTAAGCTGTATTAATAACTTAGATGTTCTTTAAACATTTGACACATTTTAATTGTGATTTCATTTTTCATTTTTTTTGCCTTTTTGTTTTTCCCTTTTCTTAATTGTGATTTTTTTAAAAGCAAACTTTACTGGAAACTTATGAAATTGTACACATATGTTATTAAGTTAAAGTGGTTTTCACCTTTGCTAAGAAGCAAATTAGAAGTCCTTTAGATATTGTTTGAATTTTTATGTGAAAAGAAAAACCTGATTAGTAGTCCCCAAACTTCTGTTAGAGTTTACAGATACAGTAATGTGACAGGTAAGGTGGTAACACATTTTAAAAAGGAACTCTTTCTTTCCATGAATAAAATATCTTCCTTATGGCTAGATAGTACATTAATTTTTGTGCCTGGCGATTTGGGATATTCAAAATGTAACTTGCGAAGTGTAAATAAAGAAAGTACATTTTCTTCTTTAAAGAAAATGCCCAAAGCCATTTCCATTGTGGAAGTTGGAAGCAGTAATATAAGATGCATTGGATCAGTGCGTTTCTTTTGCCAAAAGTCTTGCTTGAGTTTTTGTGCAGCATCACGAAATGAAAGACACTTAGTTTATTAAAAAAACAAAAAGTTAAACATTAAGCCAGTAGTGTAGGATGTTGGGAAGAAAATAATACATAATTAATGTAACCAGAGTGATTTGTATCGAGCAGTGGAAATAGCACCAGGCAGGACTTAGGGAGAGTCAGAAATCGAAGCTGGCATGATATTTATGTGACCTTAAGAAAGTCAGTTACCTGTGCTGCTTTCTCTTGGTCTGTAAAATGTGGAAGTTCAACTACATGCCTTCCATATCTGAAGTTGTAGTTTAGTGATTAATGTGATGCAGCTTTTAAATTATTCAGGCAGGAACTAATGTATGCAGGTTCAGTTATAAATTCAAATTTTTGTTTTATCTTACTGCTGCTGTTAATGATTCTTAAGTGAGGGTGAATTGCTTTTATTTAACAGTAGAACCCATATTGCACTGCGAAATCTAATGAATGCCCATTTTTCCTATTTTTAAACAATTTTCTTGATGTAATTTTTGGTACTTTTGAAATTGCACCTGTGGAAACCAGTACATAGGAAAATTCTATTAGGATAGGAATTTTTTGGATTGAAGTTTACTGTGCAGTGCATCATCGTCTAGAGCTATGGTAATTCATGGAACTGAAAAGGGTTTGGCTGAGCCCTAGTGGTCCTTCAGACCAGCTGGAGAAGAAGTACCTTTGTGTTCAAACTGTTAAAAGTAAAATGCAGATTAGGTTACAATGATGGGCAGTCTTCAAATATAGTTGGAAGTTTGTAAAGTGCAAAGTAAGACTTTCAAAGATTAACATTGTTTAGCCTTTTGTAATTATTTTTATGAGTGCTTTACTAATATATAAACTAGATATAAAGAGGAAAGTGAGTACATATTTAAGAACAATAGTGTTTCTACAGATGCTCCTTATTTAAGGATGAATTGGTCATTGTGAATGATGATGATGTTTTAAGGTACAAAGAGAAATGATTTAAATAGTTTGGACATAAGAAATAAGCCATCTTTCAAATTCGTGTCTTACAGTGCTTATTTTGAAGAGCAAAAATTCCCTGAGTAGTTTAGATTCATTGGGATACATTGTTGAACAAAGCTGGATTCTGGAGGTTTGTGCTGTATATTACACAGTTACTTTATTCTTCGGAGTAAGTGTTGTTCTTAAGTTTAGCAGGCATGACCTTCAAAATTATATTAATTGTGCCCTGGATGGTGTGGCTCAGTGGATTGAGTGCCTGCCTATGAACCAAGTGCTCACTGGTTTGATTCCCAGTCAGAGCACATGCCTGGGTTGCAGGCCAGATCCCCAATAGGGGCCACTTGAGAGACAACCACACGATGTTCTCTCCCTCCCTTCCCCCTGTCTAAAAATAAATAAATAAAATCTTTAAAAAATTATATTAATTATAAATTTCTGTACCTGCTTACTTTTAAGAAAGCAGTTTGACTTCCAAATATTGGGGCTCCACTTTGCAAAAGTAATTGAGAAATTGAAATGGGAGGTTACCTAGAAAAGATCGGTTTTTACAAAGGCTGGTATCAATAAAAATTTTTGGAGTACTAATTTCTTTTGGAGACTTACAAGTTTTTCTTTAACTCTATTCTGTTAGTTAACAGGAAATTAAAGATGATTAACGTGGTTTGCTGATGAGAAAATTTATGTTTCAATGTTTATTCAATAGACTTTTAAGATGGCAAAATGTGAAGATGAAAATGTAGATCCTAGGATTTCTAAATAATAGGATATTATGTAGAGACTCTAGTTCGAATTTGAGACACCCTATCATACTTTAATGATCTAAAATTACAGTGATGATAGGAATAGTATGATAGTTGATTGGATGAATGTGGGAGATTGGATGAGGTCACTTTGTCAGCTTATCTCCCACAGGAAAAGTTTAGAGACCATGACAGGGCGCGTAGTAACTGTACTCTGGGGAGCAGAACGTCTCAAGCATGTGTGCCCTGGAGGTAAGTGCCAGATCCTTCAGGCTTCTATAGCAGAAAAAATCGCCTTTAGCGCAGCTGCTGCAGTGAGTGAGGATTTTCAGTCCTACTTTTGGGAAAGAAATGAAAAGCCGTAGGTATTACCATCTTTTGGTTTTATTCTTCCGTGTGAGAAATAAAGTGAAAAGAGCTGTTAATAGAGCCGTGAGCCCAAGCAGGGCAAGTGCCTCGGCTCTGCTGTCAGTGTGCTTGGGCACTCCATCTGCCACCTGTCACGTGAGATGGTTAGAATAGATGATCACTGTGATCTCATAACTCATTAAAAAAATAATTCTTGAACCCCTACCTAATATGCCAGGTGCAGTTACTTCTCAGTGATATAATAGTTTAAAAAAAAAAAAGAAAGAAAAATTCTGTATCTAAAAATCAATGAGTCTACATCATTTAGTTTCTTTTTTTTCTGTGAAATTGAATATGATTTTCAAAGCTTGCAGTTGCAGTCACAGCAACAACTTAGATGAACTTAAGCAAAACTAAAAGGGGGCAGGGGTAGGGGATCTGTTGGCCCATATAACTGAGAAGGCCAGGTTGTGGCTCTAGTTTTGGGCATGGCCGGACCCAGGGATTTAGATTATGTCATAGGGCCTTGATTCTGTCTCTTTCCATGTTTCGGTTCTATTTTAAAACTTAGCCAGTAAAGACGACATTCTCAGTTCCCCAGTGCCCATTTATCTCCTCCTGTCAACCACTTTTTTACCTCTCACTTCGTTTCCCCAGCTAATCAGCGTGCCATCTCTGAACTTGGGGAGGCATGACGTGGGACTGAGAATGCCAATATAATATGCATTGAAGAGGTTTTTTTCTTTTCCTTTTTTTTTTGTTGTGTTTATGCAGAAGTGGGAAGGAGTTCTGAGAAGACAAAATCAAAGGATTTATAGTACATGAGAAAAAAATTATTTTTAAAAAAGTTATTTGAATCATATGGCTGTTCTTTTTTTTTAAATCTTTGCTCTGTTAGGTGATCAAATATACCTAAAAACTTTGGATAGGTGTATTAAAGTGGCTCCCATTTTTTGGTCTGTTGTAGTGTTTCTCTTAAAAAAGAAAAAGACCAAGTAAAGAGATGTGATTGTTTAGTAAGAAAAAAATGTATTTAAACTCTTAACCAGTGTGAGCTAAAAAATATTTACAGGTGCCCCTTCAAAGTATTTTTTTCTTGATCTGTATGAAGTCTCCAAAGTCAAAGAAGGGATAATATTAAGTATCTGGAGGTGCTCTACTTCTTTCTTGATACTACATTAAAAATTCTAATGTATCCAGAGAAAAATTATCAGAATGGAGAGGGCACTTAAAAATCACATCATACGGGGAGTGGTAGAAGAACCTGGGAGGATATTTAACCTGAAGTGTAAACTTAAAGGTGTGATTTAAGAAATCATTATAAGTAGTCCTGGCTGGTGTGGCTCAGTGGATTGAGCGCCAGACTGTGAAGCAAAGGGTGTTGCCAGTTTGATTCCCAGTCAGGGCACATGCCTGGGCTGTGGGCTA